ATATATATATATATTATATATATATATAAATAGTCAAGATTATGAGCGTCTTACTACTAAGCCATTCAATAATTATTTTTTATACAATTAAAGTCGTTTATGTCAGGTTATGAAACATAACAGATTAAAATTCAGAATATTATTATGCAAAATATTCACTTGACTTTTTCTTCTACATAAAAAAATCGTGGTCAACAGACTTGAATGACTCATGACTGGGACAGTTACCTTAATTACGTGAATAATCTGTGGCCAATTCTTCGTTACCATATCATCATGTCATCTGTCTTCTTTATTTATGACTCTAATCTTCTGATGCAAAGAACTATTCGGCAAAGATTTTGTCATCTGGATTAGTATTTTTGATTGAATAATATCCATTGATTGAACAAAAAAACGCCAGGAAAGAGCACGAATCAAAAATACATTAGTGGTGCAACTAAAGTTGCTAGATAAAAATTTTCGAAACTATACACTTATAAATCAAAAATCCTGGACATTTTGCTTGCAACCTTATATATTGGAAGTGTTATAGCCAACATAACAAACAACGTAACAAAAATATAGATTTTTATAGAAATATCTAGATCGTTAACTTTAAAAATATGATTTCACGTAGCGAATAAAAGCTGGTGTTTTATTACCCCATCCACAATGCAAGTAGCGTTGAAAAAATTAAGCCTGAGACACAATAAAAAGAATACAAGAAAGGAATAACAACAGGACAACAGATTTCGACCAATCAGAAGCTGTGAAGAATATCGGAATATTTCTGATTGATCGAATTCTGTTCCCTATTCCCTGTTCCTGTTGCCTGTGTTTTTCATTGTGTATCCAGCTTTAACATTGAGAGTGCCGTCCCATGGACACGGAAAATGGAATCGGAAGGGTTGGAATGGTGAGAACAGCCAATCAGCATCATTCCGAAAATATTTGACTTTAAATATGAATCATATGTATTAAATAGATTATCAATAATAAGCATAATCATAATTATTATTACATAAATCTAAACTTTTCATATCTGCACAATTAAAATTCAAAGGAGTTATAAATTATAGAAGAGTGCAAAAAGGGAAACTGCATAATTCTGTGTGTGACAGCTGTTCACGAAAAATTTCAATGCAAACGAAATATTTTTATATTTTGAAATGGAAAGGTTTCTGGAATAGAAGAATTTCTTATGTTTATATGACTTTTTTTCATTCTTAGGAAGAGTAAAATATGCTAAGTGGGACAATCAGTCAGCCTGCACATTGTATTTATTATTATAAATATACATATAATTAAATCTATGTAACTTAGTTTTAAAATAAAACTTTATGACTATGACTTAATTAAGATTTGTAGCTAGACATTAATTCATAAATTGAAAAAAGCTTATATATTTTACTAATACAATTTTTATGATAAAATATATTAAAAAAAATTTGTATAGAATATTAAAAAAATAATTAGAAGAATATTTCAAATCATTGATTTGATATAATTACAATAAAAAACAAAACTTATATCCAAATTCACATTAGTAAATTAACATTTTTAATTTATTATTGTAATATACATATAATATTACAATTAAAGTATCATAAAAAAATATATGTTTCAATTTATAACTTTTTTATAAATTTAATCAGAATTTTTAAATAATTTGATAATTAATAACTTAATTAATAGTTTATGTTAAAGACTTCAAAGAAAGAGAAGAAACTTGAAGTAGTTGAAGTAATGTGACTAGAATAAGGTTTTAGATTAATTAAAGATTTAAAATTAATAATTCAATTCTCATAATACTGTATTACACGCACGCACGCACGTACACTCTATATATATAACAAAATGTACAATTCAATAGTACAAGTAAATAGAAGATGATATATAAAAAGAACTTAATAGTTATTAAGAATGCATCTGTATAATAGTGTTATCTCAATATTATGTAGAATTTCGGGAAGGCTATATGACTATGATTTGTCTTATTATTCTATGTAAGATACAATTTTGAAAAAATTAATAGTTTCTGCGATATTTTATATTTTATACAGAATATGCGCAAATAAAGTATAAAATATCTATAAACCATTGACTTTCTGGTGACAGTATCTTTAATATTTTCATATTCAGAATGACTAAAGAAATCATATATTTGTGTAACAAAAAATATTACATTAAGAATATGATGACTAGAAAAGGTATCAGTATTGCAATCTACAAATAAATCAATATTATAATTATGTGATTTTCTTGAAATCTTACGAGTTCTATACATTTATACATTTTATACATTTTTTTCAGAAATATTTATTTTTTAAGATATTAAGAAGTTCCGACACTTTTCGTACATCTTGTACATATACGTGTGTGCGTGTGTGTTGTGTGTGTGTGTGTGCACATATTGTTATAAAATTTGTAAATTCTATGTTTAAACTAATCATTTTCGTGTATTAAATTAGACATTATAGAATCCATTTTTATAACTTGTACTTTTGATGTTAATGCTTTCATTAAATCCATATTATATGAAGACCAATAACTTATCAATTCTGGAAATTCATTATTATTAATGTACTTAATTTCAATGGAAGCAAATTGTTTTCGTGAATTTAAATTTGGTTGACAGTTAAGTTTATGACACAATTGCATTATATCACTTTGACTAGCATTAATAGCTTGAACATCTGTATAATTCACAAAAACTATTAGAACACTTTCTATAAGTTTTTGTTCTGTAATGGTCGCTTTTCCTGTTCGATCTGATAGCATATCCATCCACTGCCAGAACTTAATGGCAAACCCAGAAGTGTAAGATTTACTTGAAGTAACCAAAAATACTGGTTTTGATGCAAATGTGTTTGAACTTGCATGATCCCATATGATTATTGGTTCTTTTGTTAAGTTATGCAAAGTTAGATTTATATTGGCGCGGCAAAATTGTCCTGGACATAGCCCTTCATTCTCTATAGTCAAATAATGATACGGAGTAAGCCTCCAACTGTATTTATCATTATATGTTTTTAGTATTTCGAATAATCGTGGTACCACTGTTGATTTCGCAGCAAATTTTGTATGTAATTGTCCTATTTTTAAATTACGAAATAAGCTTTTCAAAGATATGAATCTCGTTACATCTGTAACAAGTAAGAATTTTTTAATATTATAGATAAATAAAATAAAAACTATAGAATTAGTTTTTTTTCTAAATTACAAAAAAATATCTAAACATACGTTTTGCATTATCATCATAACAATCATAAGATATATTGCCGTTAGACACAAGATTATATATATCCATAGAAATGCAATTATTAACTGAATAACGTTTTAGTAATTGGCCAGTCTTGCCAGATAAAAAAACAAGCGATGACGCATTTGCATTGTCTATTGCTATACTTAATAGATCTTCAATATTATCCGCATCAATGTCTGGTAGAATAACCGGTAATTTGGGAAATGTATGAATTGTAGAAATCCAATGAATTGTTCCAGCAATTGGTTCTATGCTAATAAGCAGTCCTTGTTCACCAGCGATAATACAATCTGGTTTTCCAGATAAATCAATATCAATACTAGTGCAATCTATAATAGTAGGTAATCTTTTCAATGGAACCAGCCATAATGGTAATCCATTAGTTCCTTGCATTGATATAATTCCTCCTCCTTCTGGAGGTATCTGTCTTTGATGTACGATTTCATCTGTTGTACCATTTCCTCGATATTGTTCGCCATGAAGAAGAAATATTAGATTATATGGAGATCCTGGTACTATGGTAATAGGCCCATATATTTCTGTATTTAATGAAAAAATAATAAAAATTAATATTTGGAATTACTTTGTTTCCAAAAATATTTTTATATTTTATTTAATATCTAAGAATTAATATACAAATATCATAGTATATAAATAATTTATTCATTTTTACATCTTATTCCATTATAAAATAAAATAATAAAAATAGCATGTAGCATTAATGAACTCACCTACATTTTTGTAAGGTTTTATCCCATGATATAGATGACTGTGGTTCGATAATTGGTAAGCAAACCATCGAACTATCACAAGGTAATACATACAAAAAGATAATTATTGTAATAATGCACAATAATATAGATGTAAATAAGCAAAAACGCCTCAATGGTGATATATCTTTTCTTTTCCAAAAATCATCTCTTTTACTTTCTTCAATTAGCATTATTGGTATATCATCCTGATAATATTTTATTGTGTTTTGTCTGTTTTGTGTGTTGTTCTGTAGATTTTGTGATTCATCCAATGGATAAAATGTACCATTTTCATGATTCAAATGTAATTCCTGAATTCAAACAAAGAATTATTCTTTAAATAAAAATTTGCTAAATTAATTGCAAATATTATTTGCAAATATCAATCTACTTAGAAAGAACTTCGCCCATTTTTAGTCAATCATTCGTCATAATCATTTTAGCCAATCATACTTACTCAATTATATATCATTTTGTAGATAATAATAGAAACATTAAATAAAATTAATTAGTTTTACATCTTCAAATTTCTGCAAAAAAGAATTAGTCTTTTAAAGCTATCGTCTTATTCATTGAATAGCTCATCAGAACTGAGAAATATGTCATTAACATTTCTAGAACGTATTTGTATGCCTCCAGGAAGATATATGACAAATCCTAAATATCGAATAAATAACATGATATAAACATAGCAATTTACAGTACGAGTACGTTTGCTGTTTATATATCTTCTTCTTTAGATGTGTGAAGTTAGCATCCCAACATTGAAATTCCATAGCTCTGATTAGAATTCGCGTTTCGTTTTGAAAAGATTAAGAATTCTCTATAGTAAAAGAAATTCTGTTAATTAATGTCGGCATTAAAACATGGAGTGCTAACTTCTCATCGAAATTTGAGATCGAATAATTTTGAGTGACTTAATAGCTTCATTTTGCAAATATCTAGAGTTTACATAAAAAAATTTTGATCTATCAAATAAATAAAAGTTTTGAAAATTTAATTTTGAAATATGATAATACTAAGATATTTTAATTGATATTTTATCCATTCTAAAATTCACGAAAGTTCACGATGATTAAAAAAAATTTATACTCAAAACTGAAATTTAATTTTAACTCTTTATACTTTACAATTTGATGATTTTAGTGATAGTACCGCAATTGGCTCAAATTTTTATATATAAAATAGGCAAAGTTCTTTATTTACATAATTTACTCAACATTTTAACTTAAGTAATATAAATCGCTTTCATAGATTACGTTCACTATCCAAAATTTTAATGTTATCCAATGCAAATCCATAATTGCAATTTATCCTATGTTCGGTAATTGTTGAATGCATTTTATTTTTACGAATGTGATTCTGATATTCATTTAATTTCATTTTCAATTGCCTCATAGTTTGTCTCACATAGCACTCATTGCAATTGTTACAGCAAATCTGAAAAGCCGCAACATTCATATCTGGCATGAAGGAATTACTATTGAAATCACAAAAGAAATAATAACAAATAAAAAATAAAAGTAAGAAATCTCTGATTTACAATACTAATAAAAATAGACCGGAACAACTAGATGTCCTTTTTTTTTTCAAAAACAATAGTTACCTAAAATCTTTTTTTAAGTAGTCAGCTATAAAATTAAAAATAAATATAAAAACAAAAATAACATTAAAAATAAAAATAATAATAAAAATAAGACAAATAAAATGAAATAAAATAAAAATAAAAGTAAAATTAAAAATACCTTCGTGATGGGAAAAGCCACTTAGAGGACTGACAGGAAGTACAAAAGATCAAACGAGAAGCGACTTATATATAATGTTATTCATCATATACAAAATCAAAGTAGAATAATCGGTAGAGAAAAAGCAAGAAGAAACAGACCGTTCAAATTAGATAAATGAAAGGTAAGGGATAATAGGAGGAGGAATTACGGGTTAGAAGAGAGAAGCCAAATTCAAAACGGAAAGATAGTTTTCTGGCAAGAACTATCGGCATCACTTTGTTTAACCTCTGACGTTATTTTTTACATGTATTTCAGAGACTAGTCTTTTATTGATTCGAGTTATGGAGAATTTTTACATTATCTCAATCGAACTCGTGATTGTTCTCCAGCCTGTGACTCACAGATGGAAAATCACAAGTCCTTTTAATGTCAGAACAATGTTCTTTAATTCTAGTCCTCAGCTATCTTTTTGTTTGGCCAATATAAAACGCATCTCAGTCATGGTTAATCTTATAGACCACACCACAGCGTGATGGTTCGAGTCTATCTTTCCCCGTAAATATAAAATTGTTAAGTGAATTATTCAGCGTAAAAGCCAGTCTTGTTTCCTTGTAATGCATTCGAATTTCTTATTCTTCATGTAAGGAATAGTAGAGTGATTTTTGATCGAATGTTATATGTATATTTGAATCACTGCTTTCCCATTTGACTATACTGGTAGATAGATGTTTGCGTCTGTTCATGATGGAGAAAATAAACTCCATAGGATAATTGTTCTGCATTAATAATGTCTCAACCAGAAATTTTTTATTTGGAGCTTATTAAGATATTTAATATTAAATATTTATGTAAATAATATAAAAAATAGGAGTTTACTTTTTGATATTATAGTTATATTTAAGTTTTAAAGAAAACGTCAAAGGATGTTATTTAAATATAAAATATTGTTTATGGCCAATATTCATATTCAATTCTTATATTTAAGATGTCTTGACTATCATCTTAAGATTTTCTAATAACTTGATAATTAATTAAAGAGCAGTATCTCAAGCATCTTAAGACATATTACTTAAGAGCTTAAAATAAGAATCGATTATTAGGGTGTCAGTGTTGTGCTATAGCGTATTCGATTCGCTGATTTGATTTAGTTCTGTCTCTTTTTATTTCATGCCCGACTCGCAATTAACAAATCGAATACGCCATGTATGTGTGATCACTTAAACTTAACTTAAATCGGATTTCCTAATTCAAGAGATTCCCTAAGAATTAACTGCATTATATCCGTGAAATTTTTTGGAATTAATTTTTTACAATTTCTTGTGCATTTCTATACAAGAATATATAAAAAAAAAAATCTCACCGCTATCGTAGTATTGTCGACTTGACAAGCGATATCATTAGTTTCGGTCAAACACTCCTCTTCATCTTCAGTATCGGTATTGCTTATACTTTGCGGAAGAGGAGTGTAACCTTTGCCGCTATGATCAGTCGACATATTATGCGAATACGTTCCTTGTAATGTAACTATTTTTCCTTCCGTGATAACATAACTATGTCAACATTATTATGATTGAAAAAAAACCAACAAGAGGAACGGTCAACTCCAAATTGATATTAGAGACCTCACGTGGCAAAAGCGTAAAACTCTGAAATCAGAGCTGCTAACTTCGAATAATGAAATCTCTAACTTTTTATGCATGAAGATCGTGCGCGCTTTCATTTCATTAGTAAATCTAGTCACAATATAAGTAGATACAGCAGATTCACTCTATGTTGGCACCCTTGATCTGAAATGGTCGGCCATGATGTTGAGTGTGCAGCGCGGGCAGTTTAAAGTAATGAGCATGATACTATTCGATGGAGCAAAGTTTTAGCTTTAAGTTTAATCTTTTTTTTTAATTGCGGTACAATGATGTTTAACAAAGTTATAAACAATAAAAATACCCATTTAATCCGTAATGACTCAATAACAAAAAATCGTCGAAACTTTAAGAAAAAACGATTTTATAAGAAAAGCTTCAAGCTTTTACATTAAACAATCAAAAATTTTCAATTTTTTTTGTCACGTCACAAGCCCACAAGTGAGTTGAGAAGAAATTTCCCATTTTGTACATTCTCCACGTGTAAAAATTCCCAAATTCAGAGAAAGTTAGAAAATATAGTGACCTTTTCAAAGTAGAAATTTTAAACTCGAAAATCCTTGTTTTCGATTTAAATTTTGTCATTTTTAACGAAATTATAGCTATCTGAAATTTGTCTATTTTTCAAGAGAAATTCTCAATTAAGTGTCTCTCTCTAATTTTTGAGTAGTTTATTTCATAATTGAGATATTTTATATTTTATATTAAAATTTTTTAGAGTAAATTATAAAAGAAAAATTCTAAATTTACAGTTTTTAAATATAATTTTAAACTAGACTTTGTTTATAAAGAAAGAAAAATTGCATTGATTTATATATATAATATATATATATATATATATATATATATATATATATATATATATATATAATATATTCTAAAATTTTAGATTTTTTTAGTCTAAAACTGATAAGATGTATTAACTAAAAGATATTAATTAAGTAATTATAATAACAGCTTTAATATTAGTGTTTAAAAGACATGATAAAAGTATATAAAATACCAATTACCGAAAAATGTAAATCGGCTATCCAAGTTAAATAAGCCACAAACTCTGATGTGTATCGGATGTGCCTGTAGAAATACTCCTAATTCTATCGCTTCCTAAAAATAAAGAACATCGCTAAAATAATGTTTATATTTTTTCTGATTAAAACAAAATATTAATTGTTTCTTAAAAAATCGTTACTAGTTATCAAAGATAAATAAATTGTCATTTTAAAAATTTAAAATTTTAAGAATAATGTTAGCTTGCAATTTATGGATATATTTAGAATAAATTCTCAAAGATATTTCGAAATTATTTCTTAGATTTCTGTTATGTTTCTTCGAAGAAACAGAATAATGATAATTCGAAGAAAAAATTTTACTCACAGTCCAGAATTTGTTGTGGTTAAATGTGGAAACTTCAACCGAGAATATCATACTCGTTAACGCATTTGCCTAGAACAATTTTACATTATTAGAAAAATCAATCATTTCAATTTTATTCTTAGATATATCATGTAATATTTTTGATACCTGATCGCATGTCAAATCACAGATACGACTTATAGTTAAAAGTTGAAGCGATAAATACAGAAGCATAACACATTGGCCGCAAACCAGTAGCACGCTATTACTTCCATAAAGAGCTTTGAAGATACAAGTTATAATGTCCAGTAACATACATGTGATCCAACAAAACAACTGCGGACTGTAGTAAGAAGTGAGATGATTTGTTGCATCATTGAGGCACTGATGTAATCGCTGGATATTTACAATTATGGAATGGTCGGCATCAAATAAACTGATGTCGACACTAATGGATTTTCCTACGGCAAATTTTAATACTATCAAAACTATCACATATATTTTACATATCCTTTATTACATGTATGTGATATAAGTGAATAAATAAGTAACTGGAAGAATCTTCCCTCGGCATCTTTTTCGGAGTTCCAATTTCTTCGGGAACCCATAACAAAATTATTTTGTCGTACATCCGACAGTACAATAAATGCATATAAAAGTCTTCTTAATATGAGCTGGCACATATACGAATACACAATTGGCTTTGCTTTTGCTGCGCGAAATGCTGCCACATTTCTTGATTGCGCGCGTCTGAGAATGCACACACGCATGCATGCACGCGTATTTTTAAATGTTAGATTTGATATTTCGAAATATACACCATGTGTGCTTTTGTAAATTATTAAGATTAATATTAAAAAATTTTATTTCATTTTTATTATCAAATTAATTTGATTTGATTTATTTATTAAATCTAGTTATCGATCATTAACGATATTATTAATCAATTAAACATAATCTTTAAATATAATTTTTTGAAAATTTTTTGTTTTTACAAATTTTCAAGAACATTTTCTAATAATTACAATTATAAAAGCATAATTATAATGTATGAATATCTAGATGCATACCAATCAATTTATGACATAACTTATTGATGTGACGGAACCTGCGACGCAATGCATCATATAAGAAGCAGAATTTTGCGATTTCCATGGAGAATAATATCCGCATCGTGTATTGTATCGTCAATTCATTAGTCATATTTTCTGTTTCTTTAATAACAAACTTTTCTAGTACACCAAATAAGAACCAAGCGCCGATAATCAATAATATGATCAACCATTGTATATAGCGCTTCTTTTGCTCATTATTAATATCTCGACATTGATGTTGTATTAAATCATCGAATTTACGAGATGTGATTAGAGCACGTTCAAATTGTGAATGTCGCACATATGACAGCAATGTCGTCAATATCATATAAAGAGTTCGGTTGTATTGATTGATCCGTCGTAGAACACATTCCACACTATTAGCTACACAGAAAGTATTGAAATCGAATGAATAATATGCTGTAACGCAATACATGCCACATGCGATGAATGAATATACTGTCAACAGACGAAAATTTGTGAATACCGAACGTTCGTTAATCGTATGTGGATGACAACCATAAAAACGCGATAGATATAGCAACCATCGACAGTTTTCCAGCATAGTTGTATAAGAACTGACTTTATTGCTCTCTAATCATTGTGAACATCTCGCCAGACTTCATTTATGTTAACGATAAAGTGCAGATAAACTTTTTTATTATTTCAGACGAGAGAGAGAGATATGATAATAACAGTAATTTGTCTCTATTGCGTGCAAAGCTTATAAAGTAATAAAATCTAAAATATAAAAAAGAAAATTTTCGAAAATTCGCTTTCCTTAAATATTTCTTCACAGTTTGAATAAGTCAAAAAAGAGAGATATAAAAGAATTAATTGTGGACTTTACTAATAGAATTATTATACCAATTATTACAATATAAATGTGTTTTTATATAAAATAACATTAATATTGTATAACCTTTATATATCGTGACATGTATCTTCCGTAACAATCAAACAGTTGGAACACGCAATTCATCAACTACGAGCAATGATTGATCCTTGCTCGTGTAGTTGATGGATTGCATGTTTCATTGAATTTTATGCATTTATTATCTTTTTTCTTTTGTATTAAAAATTTCTTTTCTGCTTTAGATAGTTATCTTTATTTCTAGAATAGTGGTATAGATTTGATAACATTGCGTATCTAGCTGGAAAAATAAATATGAAAATATTATAGTATTATAAAAATTAAAACTATTTTAAAACAATTGTTCAACATTACTATTATAGCATACCATACTCACGAATTGATGCACATGGGAGTAATCATTATCACGTTCAACATTTTTTCCAACGCTCGAAAAGTGGATAGATTTGAATAACAATCTTGAGAATCAGAAGCTTCTCCATTTTCTTGATGTTTAATTAAACCTCCAGTAGACCGCAACAACATTCGTGACGAGATACGCGCATCTTCCGGATCGATAAACAAGCTCAAACCGATTTTCCATCGTGCCTGTGTAAACATTTAAGCGACCGCGGCATTTACCAACAAAAAGTTGCACATTGACGAGCTCACATAATACCCAATCTCTGACAACCGAGGCTAAGTCGTAAAACTTTCATACGTCTCATCGAAAATAGTGATGCTCTAAATGAAACAAAAAAAATATTTTTGGTATTTTTGTTCAAGATAGCAGAATAAGGCCGACATAAGGCTCTTCCTCTCCTATTGCATAATTTTTGTACATAAGTTAATACAATAAATATACATAAAAAATCGATTACCCAAGCTTCAAACCAACGCTGTCTTATTCATTCACATTTATCAAATGATAACATATATGAGATCCCACTACAATATGATATCAAATTTTCTTTTTATCATAATATAATTCTATTGCGAATTATGAACATTTTATAATTAATTTATTATATATGCAAATATAAAATTATCATTTACATTTCTTATATAATTTTTAATTATTTTATATATTTTTCGAATTAATTGCGGTTACTTCTAATCTTGATATAAATATTACAAACTAAACTTGAACAAAAATTTATGCTTCTTCTAAGTACGTTTCGTACAGTACGAAACGTCTTCTTATTATCAGCTAGGTGGTATGGCCTTGGCAGTTTGTCCAAATCCTAGATTAGGCCTGGTACCAAACCATGACATTTTCCATTCTAAAGTTTCTTGAAGTAGACGTTCCTCTTCTGGCGTAAAATGTAACAATGTCGCCACTGCCCTTGTTAAATGGAGAGCCTTTAAGAAATAATATGTAATTATATAAAATAAATAAATAAGTTCAATATATAGAAAATAATTTTTTATCTAGAGATAAATTATAAAAATTCTATTCAAAATTAATACATATCTAAAGCATAGATATATTTATGATAATTTAATTTCAATTTTTTATGTATCTCCAATGATCTTTAATAATTCCTTATATACTTAAGTTTCAACTGATATTACATATCAGTTTTTATTAACATTAATGTTCTTCAATGACAAAAAAATACATTAAACGAAATTACAAAATTTTCTCCTTTTTAAAGTTATTCAATGGCCTCTTTCAAATACCGTTATTAAATAATTTCCTCTTCAAACGTTATGGTATTTCTTTGTTGCAGATTCAAATTATATTAAATTCTTTTGCCTATAAATTAAATTAATTATAAAATTTTCTAATAAAAGAAAGATTTATATGATTAAACAATTCTATTATCATAATTACGTTCTAAAAGATGTGTTAATGTAATATTTTAATAAGTACAAAAAAGAAAAAGTTTTCCACTTTTGTGAATTCTAATTTACTCAATTCATTTTTTGGTATGTTTCATTGATTGAAAAGGATTTTAGTTGAAATTAATAGTTAATATTACATTAATATTATATTAACTGAAGAGTTTTTGAAACGTAGAAGTAATTCAATTTGATTATAGATCTGTGGAAATGCATAAAAAAGTATATTATCACAAATACATCTATATACTTCAAATTTGTAATAATCTTAAATTAAATTTTTATAATTTAAGTGTAATTGTATATAAAAAAATAGACAAATTAGTTCAGAATAAATATGCACCTCGTATTCTCTGCTAGTGAGAAATTTTATGAGAACATGCTTCAAATATTTAAA